GGGTATGATTACACGACACATCACACAACAAACCATTACCCGCTTAACACACAATAATACCAGTCATCATGACTTGACATGATTTACACACATCTAAGGGCACGATCACACCATCAGCTCATAAACAGTAACACACATTATTACACAACAAATACTCCATAAATAAATGTATAGTTTTTATGTCACTTTAAATAACAGAATAATAACTATTCTTCCCATGAATTAAACATTTATATACACATGAAATTTATTTCCTTTTAACTTCTATTTATTATATAAAACAATGACTTATTGATAAAGATTTAAGTATTTTGAAAATGTATTGAATCTGATTGATGTTCTCTTGTTCTCAGGCCAGAGATCTCGTGCTTCATCGGACACGAGTATCCATACGTTACCTCCGACTGCGAGTGTCGTCACAATCACCGGCTATCCTAACGACTTGGAGGCCAACAACTCTTTAGTAGATTCAGACCATAGATATCTCATCGATCATTCATAAGATGTGCCATTGGTTTTAGATTTTATTTGTTTGTTAATAATTAACTTATAACTATTAATATTTAAAATATTTAAACGAGTTTTATTTATAGATTTTGTAATTTATTGTAATATTAAGTAAAATACGAAATTATATATCACTGTTATATATGTATTACAATAACATGTTTTATACAATTGATTAAATTTAATTAAAATATATTTTTATTTTGTATTCAAATATAAGTCGTTTATTTGTATGAATAACGAAAACAAAGTATTGCCCCAACAGTTGAGAGTACAGTAAATAAAAAACAATTGGACAACAGTTTTATAATTATAAATCTATTTTGAGTCTTAATTTGAGTTCATATAAAGTATATTAACCGTAGTTTGTATTCGTATATAAAATTCAATCATTTTCTCATTTAATTTTAAAAAACAAACAAAAGAAACGCTAAAACAATTAAACAGAGATTTTTTCCATTCAAACAAAATAATTGTTGTTTTTTGTTGCCTATAAAGCGTTTCATTTCATTTTTGGTTTGACGACTAACTTTCCCGTCAGCTTCTGTTGGATCACCAGAGATGTGGTTAAAGTGTTGCCTAAAAAGATGGCAAAATACAGGGCGGCGACAGCCGGCACCTGCCATTCAACACATGACACGTCTTGCGTATACATGTTGTACAGCGTATACGCGTTGTAGAACTGGAATACGTATCCGAAGTACAGGAATGGTAGCAGAAATCCGAGTCCTCTCCACATCCACGAGTGGAAGCCCTGTATCGTAATGTCCATATCGTAGCGCTCGCCCAACGCTCGCAACCGATACAGACATCCGTATTGATAGTAGTATTGCAGGAATTGAAGGAAACTCGAGTAACAGATGTAAGACAGGAATTGTATCCGGAATTTCGTATAACTCGAGCCGTCGGGCCTATTGTGTCAAACAAGTCGTACATTATTACACTATTGGTTGAGTTTTACCAATTATCACATTTATTGGCACACAATTCACTGCCCGTTAATTGTAATCCTAATTGTAATCTCATTATAAACACAAACTCTAATCCAAAACTAATAACCTTTAAACCAAGTTTAAACATGTCTTCAATTTTGTCGCAATTCATGTAATCATTCAATTTGTGTTAATCAACAAAAATAAATTTTAATTTAATTATAAATGTATTTCTATTAAGAATATTGAAATAAAAAGTGCTAAATACTGATCCTTAAGTACAAAACTCAAACTATTCGTTGAGTACTATATTATCAAATAGTCTGACAAAAACTGGTGATAGAAAAAAAAAGATAATATAGAAATGTGTTCTCAAGAGTGCATACAATTTAACTCAAATATTCTCAAATGGCCTACAATTCAATGAATGAAAAATAATTTGTCTATTTTTCTTAATTTAATTGATATTTTTTGGTGCAAAACAATTAAATGTCATTTATTAATGAACTGTGAGAATACTGCACTTAATTTTAATATTTGCTCACTATTAATACCTGAGTTCATCAAATTAAGTAAATAGTGTATCGCAATAGTAAATAGTGGTCCCAATAAATGAATAATATGTTCATTATGTAAAAAAATTTGGTAACAAAATTTTAAATTCAAAATTAAAGTGAAAGTAACAAATGATAAATACTAGCGCTCTGTAAATGTCATGTATTTTGGGTCTAATTCAAAAAATTTCAAGAATGCGTGCGATTTTTATGCACAAAAAAATCAATATAATTATTGCAATCTTTTGCTGATTTTAAAATATTTTAAATTATCCTAAAAATTGTTGCTTAATATACAGACAAAATACACAAACCATGCCTTAAAACAAATAAAACAGTTTCACAAGAGCTCACTATTGCCGGTATTATAGATGAGTTTTATATGATATGAACGCTTAAATAATGAATATAAATATAAGACATACCAGACAACCATAACGCCGGCCAAAACGGTGGTCAGAAAGTGAAGTGTCCGCCACCAGCCCTTGATTCGGGACCCGTTGACCACTAGAATGCTTTCCCTTATGGTAAGAGTGCAGTGATACCACACCAACAGGAAATGCAACACAGCGTCACACACTCTGTCCGCACAATCATTATAGCAATTAATGTCACTTTCAATCAATGCAATCCATGGCAGCCATACCTCGACTGGAATATCAGATCCAATAGACTGACCACTAGTATGACAGAAGTGACCACCAGTTTAAACATCTCGTACTGCTCTTTGTATCGGAACCGTTGTTCGTTGTCCAGAAGTGTGGCGTTAATGCTTCCCAACACGATATTCAGATACAAACCATTAGGCTTTGGCAACGATTCCCCAATTTCTCTGACGTGCGCTCTTCGCGAACCCATTTGTTTCAACAGATCCTCTTTCAGGCGCTCTTCTTCTTCGCCATTTGTCACGCATCTGATCCATACAATGGACACACAATTCATAAACCGGTTAAATGACAACTAATGATGAGTCAAATACAATACTTTTGGATCAATTGTTTCAATTGAGAAATCCTATAGTTTTGATGAGTTATATCTTTGAGACATTTGTTCTGCAATTTTGTGAACTCAACGATAGAGTTGTTGTAATTCTTGTGGCCTTCCTATCGGTTCCCAATCATAAGAGAGACACAAATCACTTAAAGCACACAATCAATGGATGAAACAATGTTTGTGACAATACCTCAAGAGTCTGGTACTCACTGTCGAGTACTTTCCACTGTTGGTCAATGGCTTTGATGTCGACGGCGTCGGCCATGTCTTCGGCAACAGTAATGAGCGACTGATATAATGATATTGAATGCAAATGCAATGCAATGCTAATCAATGACTGGATGTGCAGACAAGTGAAGGACACAAACACATGAAAAACTAACAAAAGTAACCAAACAATGGAAACAACAAAACAAATAAACCTCTGATTTGTTTCTCCCAATCAATGATACACTCAATTAGTGAATGCATAAAATGATTGTTAATAATAGCTGTGATTACTATTACTATGAATACAAACTTCTAGTAAAGGCTTTGATAACACTTTTGTTTACAGTATATCTGACTTTCAATGAGAAAAGCGTTATATAATTGCGTTATTCTATTCAATCAGCGCTTATATAACACAAACGCGTAGAGGTGTCCACGGCTTCCCATACTATCTCTAACAGTCCGACTCCGAAGTCGGGAGAGAGAGAGAGAGAGAGAGAGAGAGAGAGA